GGTTGTTCTTATTATAGAAAATGTGCTGCTAAATCTGGATGTTGAATAAAATTTGCTAATATTAAGATATTTTGATAATGAAACGACTAAGAATTCCTCGCGTTTACAATTAACGTGTGACCTAAAATGGCTAACATTGATTCACATATGGCTTGGTTATGTCATGTTTATGGAATTTGTGTCGTATCGATAATCATACGCGCTGATTCATCCGTTTCTGGTTTTGCAGCTACCTTAAAAATTATAATTTTATTAAGAAATTCCTATTTCTATTTGCAACACTTATAAATCTATTTAATTTTAAATTTACCATTGAGATCCAAGTTAGATCGTCCGTGTCAAAAATAGGAACATTGTTCATATTAACGTTCGTTTCATTGGAATTAGGATTTTTTTCTGTACCTCCGATATAAACGATGTAACCATTTTTCAATAAAGTGGCACTATATCCTTCACGAGCTGTAGGCGTATCAGTAAAATTAAAAATCAACCACGTCATTTTTTTTGTATTTAGTATGTTCATAGTGGTAATGAGCGTACTAATAGTGGTTAAATTACTTTCTGCTGGACTTGGTGTATTTGTTCCACCAAAAATATATATAAGACCATGACGCATAACAGCCTGCATGTCATTATAGATATTGCTCACGTTACTATCAAATGTTGTAAACCCATTGGTAGTCAAAGGCGACCAACTTGATTCAATAGAATTAAAAGTATAAACAAGTGACGGTTTGACAAATCTTGATGACGCATCATCGTAAGATACACCGCCAATAATATATACTGTGGATTGGTCAATGGGACTTAAACATGAAGTGGAAAATTCTGTGTTCATTGGAGCTGTGCCTTTTATGTTCACACTCCAACTGGGATGAGAAGTGTCGAATGATTTTGATAGGTCCAAAATAATTGTCTCATTTGTATATTCGGGTTTTCCCGTATAACCTCCAAACGAAACCAGGCGAGTGCCAATTAAGACAGTAGTTTGATATTGACGTGGATCAGGGATAAATTGACATGTCACAGAAGCAAACAGGAATAGGATGAATAATAATGCTATAATCATTTTAAAACCAAATTATTATGATTTAGATGAAATTGTATATAAAAAATATTATGTAAGTAATTGATTAACTTCAAAATTATATAAACTTCCAAGAAATGATATTTTGAAAAATAGTTGCAGGAGTTGTATGCACTGGAGACAGTGTTGTTAAATGACTTGAAATGAGACTTTTATATATGAAAATTAATAATATATTTAAATGACTCAAATGATGACAGATGTCATTTCAGAAAGGTAAATGACCATGCAAATTTAGTAACACTGCTTGGGAAAGTTCTTTAGATCTTACAAATGCATTATAGAAAGAATTTCCATGTAATAATAATAATACTGTATTTTAACAAATGAATTATCTATTCTTATCTTATCGATGCATTCATTAGTTTATTTATTTTTAGAAATTCACGGCGTTGAGTCATACTAGATGTACTTTCATTTCAGAAGTGTAGAATGCAGTGTTACCTTTTCTACTTTCTTTCTGGAAATTTAATATATGAATTTAATAACTACTCATTGTATACTACTGTAGGGAAGAGTAAACAAAATGTATGCAGCCAAACTAAATACATACAATTCAATATTATAAAATTTTAATAATTTCTGATCTGAGTTCGACTCGATACTAAGATTTTTACATTACAGAGACGAGTAAATTGGCAACTTTAATACTACTTGGATTAATTATAAAGTAAACATATAGCTACTTTGTAGTAGAAATTTACTATATAGTTACTATAAAGTTACTATATTTTAGCAATACTACTACTATAATTATTTTAGCTTTAAATTACTATATAATTATTTTATTATTACTATAAAGTTACTATATGTTAGCAATACTACTACTACTTAATTTTGCATGCTTCAGGTAAAGTACTGTATTTGGCAACTTCCAAATATTAGTAGTATAGGTGCATAGCATATTTAGTCCGCATAACGTTGTACAAAATTTTAACTTTCATTGTATGGCCAGAAGTATAAAGATGCTTTATTTTTAAGACTATTTAGGAAGGCAACACAAAATCGATCATCGAAAGGGTGAAATTTTAACATTCTATTTAGCATTTCCCGTTACTTAGCCCTCTTCTATTTTAAATTTTTTATAAATAGCTATTTACTATTTTTATTAATTGTATTTTTATTTTTATTTTTTTAGTGTTTTGATTAATTATTATTGAACAAGAATTTATTTTTACTTATATGTGTTTACAAGGAACGGAGTTTTGCTAAAATAAAACGAAGAGAGATCTACAACAATGTTTTTGACATGCGTCCGTAATTTCTCGTATTTGATTGCTCAACATAATTGTAGAAGCATTTAGATATTTCTGTAAATTGCACATTTGTGTTCCAGATTTCTGTTTTGATTGTGAAATGCGAATAGTATGCATTATATATATGTGTGTGTGTGCGAAATGGGGCGCCATCGGCGCCCTCACTGTAATATTTTTGTCAATTCCCATTAATTTTGTTAATAGCCCATTAAATGATAACTAAATTATATTTCATTTAAATTGGTGATTTTTGTATTTGGATTACATGCCTGGCACCGAATTATCTTTCTACGACATGTACATTTTCTCTATTAGACTTCATTATCTGTTAATTAATTTCATATTAATTGTTTTTACTCTATTTATGCAGCACTTAAATTTAAATACTAAATAATGTTTATACTTATCGAGAAAAGATTCTATACAGAAACTTAAATCTTTTAATGCTCAGTTACTGCATAGTAACTATATAGTTACAGTGGTAATTATGTAATTACTGCGTTGTTACTATGCAGTTACCGTATATTAAGGCATTTAAGTTTCTGTAAAGTTTATAGCCTATTTAAAATTTTATATTAGTAAATATTATTATATTCGTAGACTATACATCGTGAATAATAGTAAATTTTCATAAAAATAAATGAACTTATTTTAAATACTTAATAATCATTCTTTATACTTATATGAAAATTATCGTGAATAATTAAATTGTAAATATCAATTAATGAGGTTTCAAAATTATGCGAAATTTTCATATCAAAAAAAAAAAAAATTGATGATTTTTGATTTCTTAAATATTTTTTTGCAGAAATAGTTGTAGGTTCATTATTTTGTAACATATTTGATTTGATATCTTTTGTAGGAATATAATTTGCACATTCATCGTGTTGCAAAGAATTTGATCGTGTATTATTAAATTTTGTTTCTTTCCTGGCCTGATAAAATTTACTATTGCATGAATAAAATTTAAAAGTTACACAAATCAATCTTATAAGAATTATTACATAATTCTAGAAAATTAATTTGTTTATTATTGAAATAATCATGAAATTTCAAAGTAAAAGCATAAGGAACTTTAGTATAATTTTTTTTGTTAGAAATATATTTTTTTACAGCCCATTTAAATTGTAATTTCGTTTAACGTTTCTTTCGAAGCTTAAGCAGTGGGAGGGGTCAAATTAAACAAACATTACATAACATTTTAAAAAATCTCCATTATTATTGGTTGGTTTATAGTAAAATGATTTATTGAAATCTCGAAGATGTAATTATATAAATTTTTAAAAATTTATAATTTTTGATTCACTGATCCAATTTTGATGATAATGATCCTCTCAGTAAGAGAATTCTAATGAATCCAAAATTATTAAAATCCGGCCACGTGGTCGCTTGCTCGATAACAATTTATATAATTAATACAATATAAATCTTTACCGATCTCGCGATCACGCGATCAGCTTTGATAATCTTGAATTCATTGGAATTCTCTCATTGAGTGGATCATTTTGGTAGTTAAATCATCAAATTTGGATTAGTGAATCAAAATTTATGAATTTTTAAAGATTTATATAATAATTTTATTTAAAAATTGTTGATTAAAATTAGTTTAAGATTTAAAAAAAAAATTAAAATAGGACATTTATTTTTACTATTCTTAGTTTTAATTAAATTAAAATATTATTATAAAATTTTAATATAATATATAGTGTTATTAAAAGTGCAATATTACTTATATAAGTAATTACGTGTAGTATATGCTTATTTATTATACAATTTTAAATATACATCATTATAAGAATTTTCGTTATCATTTTTTTTTTTAAAAAAAACAATTAGGTAATATGATACTATAATAATAAAGGCCTTAAGTTCCAAACTAAATGAATTATTTCATGAATAAGCTCGTAATTTCAAATCAGACTCAGGGTGTTCTCGAGCAACTCTCTTAATACGATCAGCTACTGATAGAGACGTTACCCAAATAATTACGATTAATTGAGTGGTTAATGTAGGGATAAAAAATATCGGGTTAAACAGTTTTTAGATTTTTTGAACCATTTCAAAAAAACTTTTTAAAACATTCTAAAATTTAGTTAGACCTAAAATGCGGGTTAGTTAGAATCACCAAGTTTCGTAGATAACATTTAAAGAAAAATATTCACTTTATAAACTTTCGTTTATTATATAATTATAAGAAATGCATAATTGCTTAATTTCTGATTTAACTATATATATATTTGCTTTGTACGTTCTTTCTAATTTAAATGCATAACTATATATTTAATTATCATCATCTAATTTAGTTAATGTTATTTTATCTTCGTTTGAACCGAAGCTTGAGTATCAACATTATTTTATAATTTTGGAAGCTTTTTGCATTTATATAAGTGATCCTTTAATCGAGCGACTAAATCCATAAAATCCTCTACACATTTGGCGAGGTGTAGTTCGACCAAGTTTGTCAATTTCCGTAATTTTTGTAAAGTTCAAGCAAATTTCTTTTATCTCCCATGGAGCATTGGGGTGCGCGATATCAAAACTATATGTGGTATTATACAAAAACTTAATATCTAAAATTTTATATATCAAATAATTTTACATAGTTTTTC